ATAGTGCATATTTTCACGCCTTATACAAAATCGGGAATATACTTCCGGTCAGGTCTCAGCACCCCCATCCCCATTTCCCCTCCCAAAAAGTGAGATGAAATTGAATTTTCCCATTCAACCCCCCTAAAAATGCAATATCCCAACTCTCAATAGGTCTATTCTAATTTTGAATAAAGCAAGGATTTAACCTTCGTGAGCAGTGATAAGACGTGATTTAGGAATTTTGAAAAAAAAATCGTATATGGGGAATGCGTCCAAAATTAACCGTCTGAGTTTCAGTAAAATAATGTCATTCTTGGAACGAATTACAGCCATTTTACAGTAGATGTATTTCAAATTCCATTTCTGTAATAATACATTAGGAGAGTATGAATAGCGATGACGGATTTGTAGATAAATATCCAGTATTTATTGTCTGTAAAATATTAAATTTTTCCCCATTTTCTTCCTGAAAGTAGGGGGTGATGAAAGCCACCCACCTCAATAAGTGTAGGGGGATATACCCCCATCCCTCCGCTATCTACGCCCCTGTCAGATGAACTCAAATTTGACTTTTGATATGCATACAAATATTCATAATCATAATCTTTGTTAGCAGTACTCTACAGGCGCCGCGGAACGATTTTTGAAGTGGGGGTGCTAAATTTGTTACGCTCGACAGTGGCCAATGCAGGATTTCGAGGAGGGTGGTAAGAAACATGCGGGGGTATGCGGGTCCTCCCCCAGAAAATGTTGAATCCCCCATTTTCCTCCTGAAAGTAGGGGGGATGATTGTACACGCCATCCCCCCCACGTCAATAAGTGGGGGGGATGCATCCCCCCCATCCCCCCCGCTATCTACGCCCCTGGTATACATATATGTACCTCGGGTACATATGTAGTACCTGATAGTGATACGACAACGGCCCAAGGATAGAGAACATGGGTCCCCATAAAAGACGATTTTTATCTGCCGTTTTCCAAATTCCTGATCGTTACTACTATAGTTAAGACATTAGTTGATCCCACCCTGGAGACAAGGCTGCGTGCGCCTACATCATACATGCTACAGTAGGCCCCTACAGTGATTTTATCATCACTCAGAGCGTTATCATTATCTATGGATGCGTGAACAGCAATAACTAGTATACATAGTTAAAGTACTACTAGTACTACTACTAGTTATAAGACTTTTGGCCCACCCGAATTAGTTTAGGACACATACGAACTATACATAATATACAGGGGTCCCAAACTACATTTCAACTAACTACAAACTACAAACTACAAAGTACATCTTAGGGCCCAATTCAAGTCTAGCACCTCGGATTAGGTTAGCACTTTTGCGAGAATGAGGGCCGGTGTCCCAAACTAGGATTGTGCAACTATATGTACCGGAGACCCAAACTAGGGCTCATAGGGTCTATGTCCCCCAGGGTACTGCCGGAACGTACCCTGGTCACTATTTGTTATGGTTAGGGTTAGGGTTACCCGGTTAGGGTTAGGGTTAGGGAGTAGGCGTAGGCGACTCCCTATATAGACTCATCAGGGGCGGATGCAGGATTTTGTCTAGGGGGGGGTGCAGGTGGGAAAGGGCAC